TCGAAAAGAGTGTTCGATTGTTAAAATATTGAATTTCCAAAAAAAAAATGATCGTTTTCCACAAAAATCGAGTTAACTTTAATATTTAATATTTCAGCAAAACAACATTCTTTTCGGCTAAAACTTTCCGAATAGTTCTAGAGGTATGAGACATATTGAAGAGCAAAATTTCGGGTTAAAATTCGCTTATTTGATTTTGCGATAAATAGATAAAGCTTGCCTAAAAACTGAATAAAAGGGTCATAATTCCGCTTCAGAGGTCCATGTGTACGAATCCTGTTAGAATTTTTCTAGTCTTACTAAGATCTTCTTGTGAACACAACATGAACTGAAACGACAGGTACATAGTTTGTTTAATTCATCACGTTCCATACATGCTAAAACTAAGAAGCCAAAAAAAAACTACTTCAAAATGTTTCATGTGACATTTCACAACATGTAATATAGTACAATATTAGTGTCTCATTTTATCTGACTTTATCTAATAATACATAATTGCTTCACAAGAAATGATAAGCTTGATATTTTCTTATTCGAGATCATTATTTAACATACATGAAAGTAGGGTGCCGCTTTATTTTTACATAGTTGCCTTGAAAAAGTTAAGAAATAGTGTTACCCTTACTTGAAGGACTCTCCCATTCATCAGGTACTGTTGGCGATAGGAAAATTAAATCAGGCATAAATTTCAATTTTGAACTAGACTACATATTTTTAGATTTATTTTTATTAAGATCTACGTTTTTTTTAAAGTTGCATGAGACTATCAGGCGGATAAACTTTTATGTTAAAAGGCAGCAATCTTGTTATTTAGGCAATTAGAACATAATCTGAGAGCTTCTGACTATTGAAAGTTTTTGACAATCAGTGGCAAGTAGTAGTCCAGAAGCAAGTTTGAGATGCAAAATTTCGATCTTAGATTGAATTAAGTTGTGAATCGATGAGTAAATTTTGTTGACTATCATCAATACATTTAGTATGTTTTCAGATCACTCATTCCATAGTACGAAGTGTTAAGCTAAAGTTTAGAATTGAAATTTCCATACCGACCAGAAATTGGACGATTCCAAGTTTAGAATCGTTTTTCTCGAACATTCAAATCAATAAAAACAAACAAAAATATACTAGCTTTAGTACTCTAAGAAGTAACTAAAAAACCGGTGACAACCAGTCGGTTTGAAAAGCTCAACCGGGCCGAACTGGTAATTGCAAAACCAGTCTGTGCGGTAACAGTTCCAAGCTCGATCGGTGTTTCTTTTCTTAATCAAGCAAAGTATGATTTATCTCTCGATTATTATCAATGTACATTGTAACTTCAAGAGAAATTTTATCCATCTGGTCACGTCAACCTTGCTGAGAGTTTGAATAATATTGACGTTTGTTATAGAAATCAGAACAAGTGAAAGATAGCCCTTGACTGCTATCACCATACATCAGAAGTTTCTTCTTATTGAAGATTCTCATCGTTACAGAACTGAGAAAAATATTGGTCGACTTATTGAACAAAATTAAACTCATTAAATCACATAGTAAAGAATAAAATTTTAATAACGATGAAAAAATTTTGTTTGTGTTCGAAGGTTTTTTTTTTATAATCATGAATGTTCAATATTTATCGTATCATAGTTTTGAGCAATTAAAGTTCTACATTGAATTTTATTAAGTATATAATGAGTGTGATTCATAAAAGCTTCAAACGATGATTAATGTTTATTTTTTCTTTCTGTAAGTGAATTACGACGAAAAATTATTTTCTATACTTAATAATAAATGTTGAAAGCATAAATTAAAATATTGTGTTTTTGTTTATCTATGACAAGTTTTTTCTTAAAAATTCAAGAACAGACTATATCACGCCTGATACACTGAAAGAAACTCCTTAAGAAGAAATTTTCTTTTGACATGTTTGTCAGTCTGTAGAAATCCAAGCTTCTCTTGACAGAGTTTAACATTCGTAATAAACCATATTTGACTGAGTTAATGCCTAGGGAAATTGTAAACGTTATGTTGCATGTTTTTCTTTAAGAACAATTAAAATACCGGTTTTTTTTCATGCAGTACGTCTCATTGATAGAAATCGTTATTTTTCCCAAGCTGAAGAAACTGAAGAAGTTGTTCATTATATTTTTAATTGTCTGTGACGAACGAACACAACAGCTCTCATTTATCTTATTAAGTTCTCATGTGTTTGACTGCGATCAAACTGCGACGCAATTACGTCGTAACTGCGATCGCACTGTGATCCGTCATGGTGAAAAAATTGCGACGCAGTTACGCTCAACTACGATGAAAAAATCGTAGTTGCGCGTAATTGCGATTTAAAAAAATCACAGCTACGCGTAACTGCGTCACAGTTTTTCGCAATTACGAGTCACAATGCAATCGCAGTTAAGCGTAAGTGCGATTAAAAAATTGTAGTTGCGGGTAGTAACGGTAAAAAAATTGCAGTTGGTAGAAATGACGACATAGGTGACGTTTTCACTTTATTAATATTTTTATTAGGAATCACAAAAAATTTTTAAAATACAAGAAATTAGAAAATTAGAGAAAATTGCTGATAAAAAAATTTATAAGAAATGAAAGAGTTTAGAAAATTTTAAAAAATAAAAAAATAAAAATCTAAGCAATAAAAAATATATAAAAGGATACATCTCAAGCATACGAGCTCATTTCTTTCTTTTTCTATTATCAAGACACTTCATCTAATCTCTCAAATTATCAAGGTAACCATCATGAATACTTTAATACAGTAGTTAAATTAGAGATTTTTTTAAGAAAACGATTTTTTATAAAGTTGGATTAAAGGTTTTAAGGTCGAGGAATCCGAGTCTGAAATCGGTTTTTCGAAACTTTGAGTTCGATTTTACCAGAAATTTTTTTTTGTCAGAAAAACAGTTTTTTCATAAAATTTATTTTGTCAAAATATCATCTTTTTACGAAAAATTTTTTATGAAAAAATTGATTATATGACAAAAGAATTTTTTCTGTCAAAAAAAAAAATTTTGTGTTAAATTCGAACTCGAAATTTCGAAAAACCGATTTCCGATTCAGACTCCTCGACCCCTAAAATCTTTGATCAAACTTTATAACAAAATCGTTCTTAAAAAAATTCTTGTGAGAAAATCTCTACTTTAACTACTTTATTAAAGTATTCATGATGCTTGCCTTGATAATTTGAGAGACTAGATGAAGAGTCTTGGTAATAGAAAAAGAAAGAAATGAGCTCGTATGCTTGAGATGTATCTCTTTATACTTCATTTAGCCGTTATTGTTTATGTTTAAAAACCATCGAATTAGAAAATTAAGATTTATTTACTATTGGCTATTTTTCAGCAACTGCGAGAACAGTGAATACTTTAGCAAACACTGAGTTCATTGCGTCGTAGATGCGAACGCACATGCATCGCACTGAAAGCAGTCTATTTCTTTCATCTCAACTGCGACGCATTTGTTAAAAAAGTGGTAGCATGGGTTATGTCCTCGAGATAATATAAATAAAATTATATATATATAAAATCGACCCGAAACTTTCCTCGGTAATGTAATATTTCTTACACAATTTCTTTCATATTATTTATGATAATATCCTATTTCAACAAAAATATTAATTGTACTCTGTGACATTGTTTTGTTTGGCACGCAATTTTTCTCATACTCTTCTTGGTATGATAAGAAATTTATTCAACATAATACTATCCATTGTGTATGATTAATGTGTACATGTCATAAATTTTGTAATAACAATAAATATTCACTTCATTCTTTCTTATCATTCCAAAAATAGCTCTTTTGTTTTTTGTTATTTATTTGATAAATTTATAAAATTTAACTCAAGTAATACGATAAATTATTCTATCATAATTCATATAAATCGACTGAAAATTGTTATTCTAAAAGTTCTTATATTGACAAAGGCTACTAAAGAAATAGAAAAAAAAGCAGGAGTAGAAGAATATTTGTGCCTTGACGAACACAGAAAGGAAAAGACAACAAGAAAGGCAAAGGAAGAAAAAAAAGAATATAAACTCCAGAGAAAGCATTGCTCATCCATTGTGTGTGAGGAGCTGATTCACCAATGTTACTATATAAAACAAACACTCTTTTCTTTTTCTTTTCATAGGATGTTTTTTCCATGTAGCGTAATAGCATGAAAATAAAGAAAAAAACAACTTACAAAAGAAGTGAAAGTAAACTTTTTATTATTATAGATCGATCACATGAGAATTTCTTATAAGTTTTATTTAACGATTATCTATCTTTCCTCATATCTAATTCTATTAATATCTGGAAATGAAAATAAATCTTCACGTATATTAACAATTAATATTAAATATGGAAAAAATGATACATTTATTTTAAATTATAATTTAACAACAAATTATCCATATTATCTTACATTTCGTTTATTTGAACATGAACAAAGAAAATTTGGTTTATATCCACCAACATATCAATATCAACAAAATACAATTGAAATTTTTAATCAATATAATATATCAAAAGAATTGTTTTATTTATTTATTATTTGTTTTTATTTTATTCGTCCATTAAATGATATTGATATACAATGTAAAGACATACGTTTATTAAAAACTAATGAAACAAATTTTAAAGATGGACATCGTCCATCATATAAACCATTATTTGTATTAGTAATGTATATATTATGTTTTGTAATGATTTTACCTGTTATTATTCAACATCGTCGTCGTAAAATGGCACAATTAGTTGCAAGACGAAAACAATTAAGACGTTTATCTATAAAAATAAGTCAAGATCATCCAGATATTTTATCACAAATTATACAACGTGGACACATAGATTTAACAAAAATACCATTAGAAATGGAAGATACTTCATTATTATCACCAAACGCATATGCTGATGATATCGATGATCATGAATATGTTTCATTTACAATACCAAAACGTAAACTATCTTTTTCTAAATATAATCATGATGAATCTGATGTTACAGCTGATGATTGTGTTGCTCATCTCTTAAATAATACACCATGGAATTCATCTTTAACTCAACAACCAACTAAGAGTATTCTACGAAAAAACAGAAGTCCTTCAGAAACACTTGAAGAACAATCTGTTCCAATGCTTACATTATCTTATGATAATGATGATCAACAAACTATTTCAAAATCAAATATACCTGACACTAAAAATTCGTCCGACATAAATTCAAGTTTTAGCAAATCAAGTGTATAAAATACAATAATAAATTTTATTAGAATAGTTTTTGTAGTTAATGACTTTTATCGTTGATTTTCTTATTCTATTTTTTATTTCATATTATAACGAAACATGACAATTACGTTAATTTAATTCTTGTATTATATATACTTTAATTATAAGAAGTAGTCATCTATATTTTCATTTATACCATCGTTGTTATTATTATAATTAGACAATATTGAATGGTATATTTTTTGTCTATTTGTCTACATAAATTAAGTTAACAAAATGACTATCATACTCAATTATATCTTGTGCTCATTGAATTCATCTGAACAGTAATACGTTAATATGATTTTATCAGTATGCATAATCATGACGAATTAATTATTATGTAACTTTTTACATTATTCTGAACTAGTTTTTTTTGTAATTCTCAATATTTCAATTGACATTGCTGGGAAAAAGAAATTATTCCCGTTTGTATGTCTATTTTTAGTCATTAATACGTGATTCATAACAAATGGGTCAAAAAGTTTCCATTTTCTTTTTTGAGTACTTGTCAAGATATTGAAGAGACTTTCAAATAAATTTTTCCTGTTGATAAGAAGTCGAAAAGAATGACAACCATCCAACTACAACTGGCAAAAAACCAAAATAGTTATTAAAATTATTTTTTAAATAACAATTCTGCTGAAATTGAAAATATGTTGCATCATACTACTACACGAAACATTTTCTTTGTTTGATTTAAGTTTATTCAAGATTAAATAAGTCTTTTTCACCTGAATGACACAACCAAGAGCCTTGAAAAGATTTTAGAAATATAATTCAGAAACTTGTATCTATTGATGCTAAATACTTTATATTTATCATCGAACTTGATGATCATGAACTTGACAAATGTCCTAAGAAAATAATAGAAGATTACAGTAGTTGAGTACCTGCGAGTTTTTTCGGCAAGGAAAAAAAATCTTATTTGAAAAACAACGTTGACCGTTTCGTCGAGTGAGTTTAAAACAAGTTCTTCAATATCATAAAAGGAAGAAAACATTTTGATTCATTTATTATTAGGTCACTCGTTATTATTAGAATTGTCGGTTATTCATAATTTACACCTCGTCTTCAAACGAAAAAAAAAACATTTTGTTAAGAAGAATGAAGAAATCAAAATGATTACATCTATTCACTCCTATGTCAAAAGACACACTATAGAGGAAGTATTTTTTTAAGACATTAACTTCTTTTGTAATCAATTGACAGGGTGGATAATTGAAATTTTTAAGAAGAAATGTTTATCAGAATAGAAATTTTAACTCGAGAAACATTCAGACATTTTATAGAAACGATTGAATTCAAGTTCAATGAACTATTCCGATAGATTGATGCGCTCTGTCACTCGTGTGATAAAAACAAATAATGCATATTTTTAGTTAATAGAGCAATTCCTGTAGGATTTAAATGTGAAATATAGTGTAGCTGTTGCTACTAATTAAATAAAACTCTTTTATTCGATCTATTCTGGGACAACACATTTCTTCATCATTGTTTACTTTATGCTCCAGAATGGCAACAAGGAAGTAGTTCATATACTAGCGAAGACATGCAGACACTCGATATTATGTGTATAGATAGATAGCCCTGCAGCCTCATATTCTTATATCACATATATTTTTATAGTCCATGCAGCCTTCGACCTTATAGCCTAATATCCCGTGTAGCTCTTGTAGCCTTACTCCCTTCAAGACCTATGGGTATCCCTATAGGACGATCCTTGAGGACCCATAGGTACCTCTACAGGATAGCACTTGACGATATATGGGTACTGCTATAGGATAGCTCTCGAGAATCCATGGGTACCCCTATAGAATAGCCCTTGAGAACGTAGAGACACTCCCATAAAATAGCACTTGAGAACCTATGGATACCCCATATAATAGCCCATGAGGCCTTCCACTTATGGCCTTATTCGACGGCTAACCTTTGACTCGGCACAGAAAAATTCACAACAAACACACTGAATATTATATATATAGATTCTAACAAGATGTTAGTCTGGAGGTCATCTGTCACAGTCTGTAGTATAAATAATTTTCAAAACATTATGTTGATGCTCGTGTCGTTTAGATATTGTTGTTATATTTCTCAATATCACAATCAATTTCTCTTTGAAGCTATTGTTTACAAGAAGTAAAATGATAATACTATTGAATTTATCTATAAAATCATTTTCTGATATATCGATATATCGACAAGATATATTGCAGTGCTTTGTCTATGCGACGATTTGTCAGTATTTTTGACGAGTTAAAAGCTATGAGATAGGATGCTCTTTTTCAAATATGGGCTTAGAAATTTTGTTCGAGATTAGTAAAATAATCTTTAGAAAGGCTAGGAAATTATTGTATTTTCACTACTACAATTCGTAACTAAACATTAACATCTTTATTTATATATCAGCTTGTAGATCAGAATCTTCTCTATAGAATGCATTAGTTTTTGTCTTTCGACAAGGAGCCTTAATTTTCATTTTTCCTAAATACTTATTCTTGAAAAATCGGCAACTGTTTTTACGTTGAAGAGAGCTCTTGAAAAAATGTTTGACTAAAAGCTACAGCTTAGTTCAATATTACATTTTGTAGAGAAGTATCCACTTGACAAAACGACCGACTCGAACAATTTTTAGCATATTCGAAAAGAGCATCCTAACTTATAGCTTTTGACTTATCGAAAAGTACATCAAACATTTTGTCTAAAAACTTTTTGATCACTCATTAAAAAGAATTTGAGTGTTCAATAAAGATAATCTAGACAAACTTGTCTTCAATTTAATATTCGCATATTTTGAAACTTAGTTAGAGTTAACAATTATCTTTTCTTAGATCGATATTGAAATCTAAGTTTATCATTCTATATATTCCAATCTTTCATTTATTATTATTATTATAAGTTTATTTCTATATTGATATTATATTCAATAAAAAGAGAATATTTGTAAATAGATTATATAAAAAACAAGACCACTGTCATACAAATATATACACCTGACTAATGCCTTCAATATAAAAAAAAATAAATAAATATCACACAGTAAAGAAATTGCAAGTTTGTTTTTTTTTGAGTATGTAAATGTTCATTTAATCTTTAGTATCAGTTGTTTTTCTTGGATGACAACATATAAAAAAACGACGAAAATGAAAATGTTCATTTTTATTCGTTGAATTTAATGATAAAAATTGTGGACATTTAAATTTACTTTTCTTTTTTGTGTGATCAATTTGTTGACTATTTATATTACGTAATTTTTCACTTAATCTATGATCAATCGTTGGTGGTACATGATAATTAAAAGCAAAATTATTAAATATCGGTAAATGAGATTCAAGCTAGAAAAGAAAAAAATGTTTTTTTTTTAAATTATTTTTAATATAGAAAATAAATTACATACTAATTTTGGATGATTGTGACGAACAAGATCAGAAGCAATTTGTTCAAAAAAATCTTGAATATTTTCACCTGTTTTACAACTTGTTTCAAAATATGCCATACTATTTCGTAGAGCAAACTGCAAAAAAAAAATACAATTAAAATTTTTTGTAAATCTTCTTTATACAAATTTATTACTCGTTGACCTAATTCTTCATCAACTTTTCGATCTTCAATTAAATCAATTTTATTAGCTACTAAATATCGACGTTCTAAATCTAATCCAGCCTAGAATCACACAAAAAAAACAAAATAACTACATCAAATTTTTATTTATAAATTTTCTTTTTAACAAACTTTTTCAATTAATTGACTAAAATGTTCAATTAAACGAAATGATTCCATATTTGTAACATCATAAACAAGAACAAATGCTTTTGTTGATGCATAATAACCTCGACCAATTGTTCGAAAATTTCTTTGACCTGCCGTATCCCTGTATATAATACATTCATACGAATAAATCTATCTTACATCTAGATCAAAGTTTTGGTTAAAAAAAAAAAAAACAAACATCCATTAGACACATGATAAACGGCCACCCAAATCACACTTGTGGTTAGACCGCCCGCACGTTCCACATTTCTACTAGAGATTATTAGGTCTCATTATGAACAATAATATTTTCTACTAGTCTTTACTTTCCTATGATTGTAGGTTGTTACAAAAAATTCTATTCAAATTAGTCATTTGAAATATTTGATTATAATCAGATAAACAATCTACCTGTAGTTATGGCGTAATCAAGATTTTAATAGTGAGATGTTTAGATGGCTGAGCTCTACCTGATGACAAAGTTTAGTTGCTATGGCTTTACAATCGGTGAGCGTGGGAGCTCAGCAACCTTTATCCTTGACTACGCAATAGATAACTTTATACTTCAGTCGAAAACAAATAATAAATACAACAAAAAAAAAAACGATATTATTCATCATATTACAATAATCTATTTGCTTTATGCGTTCTATCCCAAGTTTGTGATAAACGAATCTTACTCATTTCTATTATACACCACTCAAACGACCTTATCACTGTCTTTACTAGAATGATTTATTTTTCGCTTACGGTTAATGTATATGTAATGATCTATGTTATGCATTTTGGACAAAATATTTCAAAAGAATTATTAAATCCTTAAACGGTTATCTATTGCTCGAGCAATCATTCCGAGTCTACCGTTTGAAATAATTTGTCTCACATATATTGAATTTCCAGAAACATTCTAATGCAAACAATATCAATTACCTTTTACCATCATAATTCATCTTCTACACTCTTGTTTTATCATTCTTTAAATATGCTAATCCGTGTGTTTTATATATCATCCTAGCATATAAACTTATTATTAAATAGTTGCTCCTTTAGGGCTATTGAGATCAGAAGATGAAACATAGCAAATAAATTCACAATGATCTATTTAATCTTTTATTACTATAACTTAATGTTATCTTTCAATATTTTTTTTATTCTATAATAAAATTTAGAAGATAATCTTACCATATTTGTAAATTAATCTTAGATTGTTCGATGGGAATAATTTTATTAAT